TTTCTATTTTTTTACAACAGTATTTTCCGCCTTTGTTAATTTTTTTTTACAACAAAAATTTTTTTGTATTTTTTTTTTGTGCGCTAAGGGGTTCGAACTAAAAAAAAAAAAAAAAAATTGTTGTGCGCTAAGGGGTTCAAATTCAAAATATTTTTACATACACCGCAAAATCAGTGTTGTCAACCAACACGGCCACGTCGCCAAATGTGATTCTAGTAACGTCTATAATAATATATATTCTATCATCTTGCTTTAATGATTTTTTGTGGGAATTAGCCAACATCGAAAGATAAGTGTTGTTTGGTTCTTTATAAAGTCATGTATCATTGACACTCAATTGCGCGTGTAGAAACGTGAGGAAGGCATACGTGAGGTGAGACTTGCGATTTACTATTCGGAATAGCCCGATTCTCTCTAGACACGAGCGATTTTCGATTTTTTCGTGGAACTGGCTCGGTAGCAGACGATTTTCGAGCCAAACCAAACGAGTCCGGTTCGACTCGGTGAGTTTTCAAACACTCGGTAGAAGCATTATATGGATTTTGATAAAGAATTTCCTAAAATTAATCGTCATCCAAACATGCCCCAGAGAAAGCCAGTTTTCTAATGAATAATTATGTTGAAAAATCAGCAACATATTGGTTGGATGTTGTCTGCCAAGTATCGATTTTCACTTTTCGCTTTTACTCTTCCAATTTCCGCTCTTTTCTTTTTCATTACTTTTTAACCTTCGCGCCAAATTTTCAATTTTCGCGGTGGAATTTGGACACGTGAGATTGCACCGCTTTACAAAATGATGCCAAGAAATCTCCTGCACGAGAATCGGACAAAACTTATAGTAGAAATATCTTTTGCTTATTAAATTTTGGTGACAAGACCTCTCGAATCTCAAATGTCAGAAGAAAAATTTCTTTTTAAATCTTTTTAAAAAAGTTCCCACTATTGCATTCAATGTTTCAAAAAACATTAATCGGGTCCTAGGTGGTATGGGTCCTAAGCGTGCACCTATACCTTAGGTCGCCTAGGCGTTGAACAACCCAATTGAATCCAAAAAAAATAGTCATTTAAATAAAAAAAAGATATATAGTATAAAAAATAAAAATTAGGTATTTAAGACACTTATTTTGAGTTTGATATAAAACATCAAAAATTAAATATAATATCAATGGGTGATGTTTTGATCAATTTTTTTCAACTTTGAAAATCCTTCGATCATAAAGAAGTCATCAAAAACTAGTTTTTTTGTTTTTTGTAGTGATTTTCTCTCTCTAAAATAGACTCTAATAAGTTTTAAGTTACAAATGAACTTAAAATTATCCTTTTAATCCCTTCATATTTTTTTTTAAAAAATCATATAAAAAAAAAATGTCTTTGGCCTTTGGTCGCGGCGCCCACCTAAGCGGGTTCCATATTGCCTAGGCGGGGCACAAGCCCTAGGTGGCCGCCTTGGCGGCTGGGCACCCGCCTAGACGGATTCTGTATCGCCTAGGTGGCTGCCCAAGAGCCGCTGCTCAGATTGGCCGCCTAGGCCCGAGCTATGCACATAGGCCTTCTGGACCGCCGTAGACGTTGGGCGGTCTACTTTTGAATCACTTATTGCATTCGATCCATCCAATTTTTAAAGAAAATAATCTAGATGTTCAGGAACTCAAATCCAAATTTTTATCTTTAAATATATTGATTTCATAGATCCCGGAATTTCAAATGGAAAAAATTATCCCAAGAGTTTTACATGAGGGAGTAAATGTATGCAATGATCCCGCGGAAGCATGATATAACCCTCGAAAGCGGTTGATTTGAGAGGCTATAAAAAGGCGATTTATTTTATTTCGTTTGGTTTTACTGCCTCGGTTGAAGGAATTGCAGAGTGAGAAAGAGAGCCGCTGTCCCATCCTTTTAGTTTTGTCTACATTCAGTTGAAGAGAGGGGAGACAGAGAGGAGAGAGCGGGAGAGTTCGTTTAATGGAGAATTTAGACAGAGAGGAGAGAGCGGGAGAGTTCGTTTAATGGAGAATTTGCCTCTTGAAATTGCCCAAAAGATCTTCGTATTACTGGAGCACCACCATCTTGCAACTGCTCAACAAGGTCCGGGACGAAACTCTCCCCAATGAAATTTTATTTGTTTTGTAATTTCTTTGAATTTTCATTCCAGATCTTCATTACTGGATTAATTTTTCCCAATTCGATCTGAAATTTCTATTTTTCTCGTGGCCAAAATGTCTTGTTCGAGAATTTTTCTCTGATTGCCTAGTTTTTGTTGGTTTTATTGCCACAGGCTTCTAATTACTGCTTTTTGTTATTAAAGGTTTTTATTTTTTTATTTTTTTAAAGTTTGGGTTCTTGAGTTCTGGGGCTTTCTTATGGTGGTTATTTTGTCAGTTTTGGAATTAGATTGTTGAATTATTCTTTTTCATTATTGCGTCTTGTATGAAATCGTCTATTGAAATAGATTATGCTCTGCATAATGGAAGATTTATTTATTTGCTGCGTATTACGACAAGATATTGAAACTGAAACTTTGCAGTTTGTGACATAAAGGTTGACTTTTATTTCTGACCAGTGATCAATGGCTCGGCTCATATTTTTGTTATCGCCATTTTAGTTCCTTTTATGTTTTTACCGTGCAATTTCTTTCTTTTATTAGTTACATATTGTAACAAGATATTCAGATTATAATGAAATTGGTGCGTCCATCTCTGCTTATTCATTAGATGTTACTTCTTGGTGCAGTTTTACTCCATGTGTCGTGTGTTGATAGTTGAAACTCTCTAAAGAAAGAAAAGAAACAAAAAGAAAGATTAAACCATTTTAATTCGGGGAAATTGCTATATTTTCATCATTGTGCAATTCATGCTCAATTTGTTATCTTTCACCTTGAACAATTGCAGTATAACATGTACAACATTCTTCTTGATACGCTCATTGTGATCCACATATGTAAATAATAAAGAATCACCCCTTTTAAAAGATTGCATGAAAACAGTATCCTATTTCCTATTAATTTCTCATTTTGCTTCTGACTAAACCAGTGACCACAATATCACTTCATTCTAATGGTTTGCAAAAAAAAGGAACCAAAAATAAAATAAAATGAAAAGAGACAAGTTCATTCTATGCTGATGACTGGATTCATGTCGTTCAATAGCTATTTTTCCTTTTTTTCCCCTCCATAATTTTCAAATTTTTGTGGGAATAATTCATGAGATTCTCTTCTCCAATTTATTGGATTCCTTTATACAGAGTAAGCATGCTCATGTGTTAGCATGGTGGGTAACACTTGCAAATTCAATTCTTTAACAAAGCAAAATGCCGAAAGATAAATCACACTCAATAGTAACATTTGCTTTGTGAATTATTTATAGATGATGAAATATTCTCTTGGTTCTTAACTAGTCTGCAGGAAATGGAGGAGCTTAGCCTCTGATAACTTACTGTGGTGCATCCTATTTGAGAAGAGATGGGGCCAATCCCAGGCTGCTTTCTATAACCCTGTTAATACGAAATGTTGGAAAGATGCCTATGAAGTCCATGATCGGCGTGATCGAGTTGGATGGTAATTCAATTCTCTAGACAAGTTTATAGCTTTTCTTTGTGTAAGGTTATCAAAAAATGCATCTACACAAATCTGTTCCCCTTTGTATCCAGATCTGCTGGCCATTTAGGGAACAAAATAGTTAGCACATGTTAGTAAGTTCTTAGTGCTATGTGAAGTATATACTAGTTATTCATGTGCACAAGGGATTTGGAGTCATGAGGGTCATCGCTTCCCCATCAGTGGATTTGACAGTTATGATGAGAGTTATGCCATGCAAGCATGACATGATTCCGATAGCAGGTTCCACTCTCCAGCATCCAATTCATTCAGATTGAATGGTGATGAGCCTCATTATCATTTATCCCATGTGGTTTTGAGGATAGTTTGCTTTTACTATGCATCTGCACTCGATGCAGTAATGTTTTTCATATCTATGCATCATAAATATGTTGCATCCTTGCATGCATAACACCATTACAAGCTTAATATTGGCCTTATTTTATGAGGTATTCTCTCATTGCCCTTAGCAAATGATGGAAAGTACCCATACCTGAATTTTTCTGCGACACATTCACAAGGGCATCTTTTGTCCAAACTGTTGAACTAAACATGCAAAGTTCAACATTCCTATCAGTGAGCATGATCAAGGTTTTGCCAACATCCTCTCCTATCAGCAACTATTGCAAATTATTTCTGGGTAGGATAGTGGTATTAACTTTAATTAAGAATTGGGAATGGGTTTGAGGTCGTGGTGGTAGCACAACTTGAGCCTCAGCTACAGGTCTAGGCTTCCATTCCCACCGATGCATTCGAAAACCACTAATTATTTCCAGGAAAAACGGGTAGGGGTTCGTGTTCTCCACTGATCTACCCTACAAAAACAAACTCTAATGAAGAATTGAATACAAGCCTTTTTGTCTTTGAAATTCAAACTCTTACTTTTGAACAAAATTATTCTTGGCAAATGACAATAAAAGGAGCAGTTCAATAGTGGGGATAGAACATTGTTATGAATGTTTGCATGTATTTTTAAAATATGCATATACACATGTATTTTGTTAAAGATAGCTCATACATGGAACAACTTCAAACTTGTGACCTCGCCTGTACAGGCAAGGTGATATTTTGTTGGTGAAAGTCCAGGAAAAAGAACTTTGCTGCATTGCATGTACAAGGGCCATGTTATTAAAATGTGATCTTCTCTTGTTGATTGCTGATATTCCCTTCTCATGTTCTTTTTTCCCTAAAGGGGGCTGAAGATAATTAGGGAGGGGAATGACTATTTTCTCATTCACCAAGGTGAGATTCAAAGGCACTTGGGTTCGAGGGTTAGGCAAGATGGGAGGAATCTTGAGAAAGATGAAACTTATGGTCACTGGAGTTCAAAGAGGGGGTACTCAGAGGGTCCATGTCCTGGAATTTTAGATAAGATACTCTTCTTCATTGGGGATTTGGAAGTTGCATCTAGGGATATAAAGCGTCATCGAAGGTCACCTACCCTCGAAGATGTATAGCATGTGCCACATATGTATATTAAAAACATGTCTTGAGGATTAATTTTTTTTGTTGTATGTATATTAGAAACATGTTTGAGGATTATTTTTTCTTGTTGTCCTTGTTTTTCTTGGTAGATTTGAGAACTCTGACAATTAGAAAAAAAGATTCAACAAGCTAAGCATTGAGATGGGTCTTCACACAAAAGATTATTCTTCTGAAGGGTGTCCATGTATTGGCTTACAGGATCTTCACCAACTTGCTTGTACCTTGTAATGGTGATTCTTGATTGTATTGATGTTGTGATAATCAAAGTTCGAGAAGCTTTATGGGGACCTACATCTCATGACAATCTGATTTTGAACTTAGAAATTTACAATATGGTCCTTTTTATCTCGTTTGATCCTTCAGGGGTGGAACGCTAAAACCCGAATGGTAATACTGGGATGGCTTTTATATCCAGATTTGTTAGCCACTTGGGGAACAGAGTAGTCAACACATATTAGTAGTGTTTATATGGATATGGGAAGTATGTGCTAATCCTCATGAGCACAGGGGATTTGGGGACATGAGGATCATCACCGCATCGATGGATTGGACGATTGGGCCTTGAAAACATGACATGATTCCGGTTCGATTCTTCACCGTCCAATCCATTCAGATTCAATGATGATGAGCCCCAGTATTTATCGATCTGGTTTTGACGACGGTCTACTTTTCCTGTGCATCTATTCTCAGTCCAAGAAATGGATAAGTTTCTTACGATGTCATTCCCATTAATTTAATCATCATAATCTAAAGAAAAATGGTTTCATGCGGCGGGACCGTATTTCTACATTTGGCTCCCGAGGTATGAAGCATCCATCTTTAAGATGGATGCGAATAGGTGGTCTATCTAAAAATAATAGAAAGTAACGGTCTAAATGTCTTTTTAATAGAATTATTATTTTTAATTTTCAAAATTCATTTATTTTTTCATGATTTCTATGTTAGAGATTACATGTCCTTAAAAATTAGGTAAAAAATTTCATCTTAAAAACAGATTTTTAAGAGGTGACTCCTTTTTACGTGGACTTTTAAAGAAACCAAACCATATCCTAATCCAAATGACGAATAATTTAATTTTACAAGGAATCGTCACATGGAAGCAAAAAAAAAATTGGCGGCCCCAATATGATTCAATAGACTCAAGACCAAAGAAAAGAATGGGAAGTACGAGAAATCATTGATTAAAAAAATGCCGATCTAAAGTGAGAATCATCGATACAAAACAGAAAATGCTAAGAATCATCGATTCAAAACAGAAAATGCTAAGAATCATCGATTCAAAACAGAAAATGCTAAGAACATGTTAGTTAGGGATCATTTGGATTTGTTTTCCAAACACTGGTTAATAAATGGTGGCAAGGTTTTAAAGTCTTAGAAATTGCCCGTGTTGGCTAGGACCAAGAGAGTTACTAGGCCATTTTTAGCTTGGAAATGGGCGAGTTTGCGTTGTCACCCGTATGTGAAAGCAGCTTTGAAAACTTCTTCTTCTTTGTTTTTCTTTTTTCTTTTTTTTCGTATTTTGGGGGCATTTTCTGATCTCATGTGATAAAACCCCTCTAAGTCAATCGAATTTAAAAGAAGACGATTTAAAAAGATCCAAAAGAAGACGATTTAAAAGATTACAGTTTGTAGATCCAAAAGAAGACGATTTAAAAGATTACAGTTTGGGTAAACCTTGTGTCTTTTAACCCAAAAATACTCGATCTGTATTTTTATTCTCTTTCAAATCTCAACCAATTAATTTGAAATTTGTTTTAAATTGTTTGCATTTGATCTCTCTAGCAAAATCCTATAGAAATATTTTGGATCAAATCAAATGCCAGAAAAGATTTATGCTCAAACATATTGGGTGGGTGTTTCATCATAGAAGGTCAGATATTTGAGTCCGACAACTTTTGGAGTTCTGAGAAACAACTTCTTGGTATTTATTTTACCTAGTTTTTTGCTCGGTTCTTTATTTGCCTAAAATGTTACAAGAATTTGTGAGAAATCCGAAGTTTCTTTTAAACATTATGATGAACTTTCTATTTTATTTTTTCTAAGTGTGTTATGCATAGATTAGATAATCTTTTTGTTGATCTTTGCCCAATCTAAATTTTTTGATCAATTTTCTATTGTTTTGAAAAACTTTGGCCTTATTTTTTGGAAAAATCCTAGATTTTTGAGTTTTATTCTAGAATCTATTATGATGAATTTAAACAAGCCTTTTGTTCATATTCCTCTTGTTTGAGATGTCGTTTATTTATTTATCTATTGTTTGGTATTCCATTTTTAGAAAAATATTTCTCAAAATTTTAACTTTGTTATTTTATTGTGAATAACTATTTTTTTTTTTCAAATATGTTAGTGACCCTACATTAGGTTGTGTTAGGATTGATTTAGATGAATTTTTATTATTTTTACGTTGATTTTATGCCTTGGACTTTTAAAGGAATTTTATTTTTTATAACTACTATGCTTAATTTTTTTTAGGCATGTAAATATTATGTAGACCTTAGGTTTAATGGTTGAGATTTTTTTATTTTTTATTTTTGGGCCTGGGGGGAGGGGGGCGGTCTTATATGCTTAGTGTATTTTTTTTTATTTTTTGTTTTAGAAAAAAAAAAAAGCTCAATTTTTTTTAGATATCTTTTTTTTGACAAATGTTAGCCAGAGTTGGGGGGTAGATATATGTTGCAAACATATGAAGGATCCTAATGTTGTAGAGGTTGTAGAATAGATACCTAAAATTAGGGAGAGAGAGATGCATACAGCCATTCTTAAGAAATATTTAGAAAAAGATGTGTACCATCTCTAATTCCCTGTTTAGTTCCCTAGATTTTTCAATCTTGTGGAAAAGTGTATCTTCAAATTCGTATTTACTGGAATTCTTATGGAGAGAGAGATACGTCCAAGTTTCATTCAAAACACAAGCTAATCCATGTCATTTCATTCACATCACATTCATTCAAACTACAGTGCAAGTGAAAGCACTTGCAAGTTACAACAAAAAAGAAAGTCTATTTCCCAACATTATAGTCTAAAATTGAGTTAGCGAGAAAAAGAGAGACTAAAAGTTAGTGACCTCAACCACTACTTCATGACATATTTTTAGTTAGCGACTTCAACTACTACATGACATCATAAAATCACAAAATAAAGTTGATGCCATGCACACGAGAACTGCTTGAATTGGAGCCTACATTGGAGAACCCCAATACTTGCCTGAGCATTTAGCTTAGGTCCTATATAACCCAGGTCTACAACCAACAAATACAATATAAACCCTAGCCATTTTCTGCAACGAAAAATAAATAATGTGGCATATAAAATATGAGAATAAACTGCCTCCTCGGCATACCATGTAGCTTCATTACATATCTTGCAAGGAATTTGTATGCACATCCACATCACAACCCAGGTCTATTTATGGGTATAAAAAATGATATATAGATCATCTATCAATAAAACCACAACATTATACCAAGGGTTCCAAACCATGTTCATAATTCGAAAAAATACTTTGAAATATAAACAAACAAAGAAAATATCGACATAAACAATTCAAACAATTAAGCTATATTTTGTGAATTTTTCCAATGGACAACTCACTTAAAATATTGTCCGTAAACTATTAAGATTCTATCATATAATATTTATAGAGATGAAACCCAAGTGAGTTTTTCTACAAAAGTTTGCCAAAAATGAAAGCATGCACAATTCAGAACACATGTTTTGAGCTAGTTTCATGCCTTAATTCAATTGTCACTACAAAATATCAACTAACTAAACTTCCAGCCTGTACATATGTGGCATGTACAAGAGCAATGAAAAAGGTAATTGCCAAGCCAAGGATACAAAAAATCTGCAGGGAGTTATCATTACGAAATAGAACAATGAATGAACTAGTTTTCAAAACATTGTAAAGAAAAATGCAAAAAAGCTGGAGGAGAATAAGGAGGAGGAGGATGAAGTTGTTGAATCAAGCTCTAAATACTTATCAAGAAAAAAAAAAAAAGGAGAAAACAATTTTAAAATTTCAATAAATGGATAGACCTGGAAGAGAGTAATTCAGAAATATAGCTTCAATCGCATTAGGACATAATCAGCCACATATGCTCTAACCTGAATGAGAAGCCATATCCATCAGCAAACTCAAGAAAGAAAATCATGAATCAATGCATTCAAGTCATATCCCCCATCTCAGAAAATGATGGTACACGTGTTTTCTTAAATCAGTAACCCTATGCATTGGGCCTTGCTCAGAGTGGGCCGTTCACATTCATGAGTTCAATTAAAAGAGGAGAAAGTTATTAAAATAAAAAATTAAAAATAAAAAGAAGAAAAAAAGAAAGAAAAGAAAAAACACACAATTTAAACCAATAGTTCATCAAGAATTCAAGAACATCAAGACTAATCAGCAGTCATATTCAAGAGCTCCTAGAACTAATGAGGAGCCATCAAGACTTTGAGATCTAATTCATCCCTGAACACCCAATTCTTCAATTATTTAATGAAATCCCCCAAAATTCAAGAACATTTTAAACTAGAAGTTCATCAAGAACACCAGTATCTAGACCAGATCTGAAGTCCAAAATACCAAGTGATAAGTATTTTTTAATTACTTTATGCATATAATTTTATTGCACTCATCAGTGACCATGTTCACTATGACATAGATCCCCCACATAGCAAAAATCATCCAATATCATGTCATGAGCATCATTGTCATGAGCATGAAATGCTATGACATAATCCCCACATAAAAAAATCATCTAATCTCATGTCATGAGCATCAAATGCTATGATATAGTCCCCACGTAGCAAAATTCATCTAATCTCATGTCATGAGCATCAAATGCTATGACATAACACCCCACATAGCATATTTCTAAACTACACTCCACATAGCAAAATGAATAAGTAAATCAATGGACAAAATATATGAAGGTGATGAATAAGTAAATCAATGGACAAAATACATGAAGGTGTTCTAGAGACCAAACTCTTCACACAACAAAAACCATCCAATATCATGTCACGAGCATCACATCATAAGCATCAAAAGGCATAATTGATGGTGTTTTAGAGACCAAACTCTCCACATAGCAAAATGCATAATTAAAGTAGTGGACAATCATGGAACAAGGATTCATGAAGGCTCAATCCCAAATACATTAACATATCCTCAATAAAAAAAAAATATAACCTGTCATAATACATGTCCAATATTTAAGTGTACATTGAAACCCATTTATGTCATAACCCAAAGAATAAGACATCCACAACTATTTTTAGATGATACCCCAAGA